TGCCAATTGTGTAACTTGTTGTCCACTGTGACTATGGTCCCAAACTTTTGACCTACCAATCATGTGAGTTGTTGGGATATACCTAGGAAACCTCTGTATCGGTGTTTCCTTGTGGTTTGTTATATATGTGACCACATAAAGGTAAATCCCAAAATATTGCTATCAGCATTCCAATTTACAATTCAGGAGTTTATTCCAAACAAAATGTGTTTAAACTTGCCTCTGGGATCAATGGAGGACTGTAGATAAGAAAAATTCTCTCAGTCACACACTTGTCTTATTAGTCTCCTTAGGGTGCCTCTTAAAGACCCCCCAAAAAAAAGAGTCCAATCAAAGCAATAGCTTCTGAGGGGATCTACTGGACCAATTAAAGTCAAGGCAGAAGGGCCAGCTCACAAGGTTGCAGTGATTGTTTTTTTTGGATTCCCAAGGGGATAATCTTCTTAATAGGTCTTCTCAAAGGACACAGAATGATCATGGAGGCTTATTAGGAAGAAATGTTAAGAACATTGAGAACTGAATGGGTGAGGAAAAAGGCCAGGAAAGTGACATCAAGATTTTTTCCCATCACAATGATACACCTGCTCATTCTTGAAAGATCACAAAGGCTGTCCTATAACTGTATTTGGTAAGCCCTTTCTTCTTATTCTCCTGGGCTTCTCTGTTTCCCAGGAGATTGTTTCTTACTTTCATCTTAAGAGCATGATATTAAATGGAAGGAACCCTGGTGGCACATTGGTTAAGTGCTTGATTGCTAACCCAGAGGTCATTGATTTCACCCCATCTGTCTCTGTGAGAGAAAGATGTGACATTCTGTTTCCATAGAAAATGACAGTTTTGAAAATCCTATTAGGTAGTTCCACTCTGTATTATTGGGTGGCTGTGGTACAGTACAATAGTTCTCTGTATTATTAGGTAGAATTGACCTGAGGGCAAAGCATTTGGTTTGTGGTTTACATTCAATGATGGGAGGCAATCTGGGAAAGTAGTTAAGACTAAGCTTTGGAGTCAGGTTGATCTTGATAAGCTTGGTTGAGTTGTTAACGTTCCCTGAGGCTCATCACCTGTAAAATGGGGAGGTATACATGTCTTGTGTTTGTAGTAAAGTGCCCTGATATATTGGAAAGCGCATAGGCAATTGGCATGATCTAGAATTAGTGTCAAATTCTGGCTCTGCCATTGAGCAGCTTTGTGATCTTGGGCAAGTTGCCCAGCTATTCTGAGCCCTAGTTTTCTCTTCACAAAGAGGGGGTAGCCATAGCTACCATCCATAATTGTCATGAGGTTGTGTGTACATAGAGCATCTGCACATGCCTGTCACATGGTAGGCATTCAACAAGTGGTATCTATTATTGTTACTTTATATTTTTACTACTTTTATGTTCTTAGATCCTTGAAACAATTCTATAAAGTGGTAAGGGTAGGGTTACCCCTTTTTTCAGATCAGGAAATGAGGACTAAAGCAGCTGAGTTATTGTTTCCATGGTTATTTAACTATTTTTACTAAGGCAGTATTAGAACACAGGTTCTCTGGCTTTAGAGAATTTTGCTCTACAGCTTTTCTTTACATATAAATAAGTATCTGAATGGATGGATCGGTGTTAAAAATAAGATTCCTTTTAGTGTCGCTCCTTTGACTCCACTCAGCTTCTTAGTACAGGTTGTCCTCAAGCACTTTAGAACAGTAGAGTTAAGATAGACGTATTTTTCTCAGTTCCAACATAATAACTTTATTTCCAAAGATGTCTCATAGATTATTGGTTTATCCTGCTCTTTATTAAAGTATCTCCTGAAGGTACATGAAATAGCTACTGAAACCCAAGAAGTGATGGTCTTTTAGATTCCTTTTGTGTATAGTTCTTATACCCGAAGATGAGCTATTTTTATAGTCAACAAGACAATCATTTGACTAATCTGTGCTCGTGTGTGTGTGTGTGTGTGTGTGTGTGTGTTGTCTTTGCTGTGATGTTCCAGGTTGATGAAAAGCCCAGAACTTTGAGGACAGATGGTCTGGCTGTAAAGAATTTTCTACGCAGAATCATCGTGGTACACCCGAAGGTGAGCTCTTCTCTGCCCAGCATTGCTGCTTGTGTGTTATTTTTATGGCTACTTCCTGTCAGACCTGGAAGGATCTAGTTGTTTTCCTTTCTTTCAGTGATGGTGATTAAAACTTACAAGACTAACTTGATTTGGTTTCTGTGTCTCTAAGGTAATCTTAGAGCCCTTGCATGTATAGAGAGTGTTTTTTTGTTTTTTTTGGATCCTTATTTTCACTCTCTTACTGTTTTACCTCTTGGGGTAATAAAACTCGGTGGTTGACACCTTTTTTCCATACAGAGTATAAGAGCAAATAAGGAAATGTTGGTCAAATATTTTGAACTTTGGAGTCTACTATTACCTATTTTGTTTTGTAGAAAGAAAAATGTCATTTGAATATAGGAAATAATGTGGAGCAATGATGCAAATTGGAGGAAGGATACAAAAATCAGATGTAGGCAGGGGAAGTAAGAGAAAAGGAAAAAACCCTGAATATTCTATGTATAGAAATCACAGAAGAGAGAGAAAAAGGGATTGTTGTTGGTTGCCACTGAGTCTATGCCAATTCAGAGCAATTCCAAATGTACAGAGTAGAACCCTTTCCATTAAGTTTTCAAGCCTCTGACGGGATGTGGAAGCAGATCACATTACCAAGCCTTACTTTTGAGGTGTGTCTTTGGGTGAGTTGGAACCACTAACCTTTCCGTTAGTAAGCCAGCACTATGTAAACATCTGTACCACCCAGGGACTCCTTAGAAAAAGTGACTATTCCTTTTAAAAACAAAGATGGGTTAAGAGAATAGCAGAGGACAAGAGGATGGGACTTCCTGATGACTTGTGACATTTTAGATTTGTGGCATAGGACTCAATATACTTAAGATTCAGAATCTGAATATAGACTTAAGTGTTAAATATGAATCAAAAGAATGCAGCCCCCCCCCCCAAAAAAAAAAGATGATTCCCCTGAAGTTTTAAAACCAAACAGTAGTTTAGCTTACCCAGTAAAAACCACTCGCCTTGAGCATTATGCTCTCAAGGTCTAGATGTATGGGATCGAGTTGACAACCGCAGAGCAATTTGAAGGATTAGATAGGAACCCGAGGGCGCAGTGAGCTTTGTTCATGGGGGAGGAACAAGCCACAAAAGGAAGGTGAGGATGGTTGCATAGCCCAAAGAATGCAGTCAGTGTCATCACACTGTACACATAGACACTGTGGACTCGTCTGTGTCTGGTCAACAGCCACACACATAAAAATTGAATACCATTTTATTGGTATATAATCCACGTACCATAGAAATAAATAAAATTTAAGGAGGAGAACAAACAAAACAAAAAACTTTGCTATTGCGTTCATTCTAACTCCTGGTAACCCAGTGTGTTACAACAAAATAAATACCTTCTTTTTAAAATGACGGGAAAGTCAAGACTGCTTCCTTTAGGCACTGGCTGTGGAAGTGTACAATGTCTACCTCAGTTCAGGTTAAATCTCACTTCTTGCTCATTGTTTTGCAGATCACGTTTCATTTCAGTGTGAAGGTGAATGGCGCCCTGGCCAAGGAGACCATCAGGTAAGGAAGGCCTGGTTGGACATGGTGCCCTGGTTCTGCGGCTTTCTCACGCACCACCGGCCAATTGTCAAGAGGCTCTCAGTTTGGTTTCTTGATCCAAGACCACCTTGAAACTAATCTTATTCTACACTTTCTTATTCTATATTCTTTTTTAAAGAATATAGAATAAGCTTTTGTGTTATTTTCTTTCACTAGAATGGGTGAACTTAAAAATCACTATTTTTCAGAAAAACAAACAAACATATAACCTCCCTCCTGGGGGACGGACAACAGAAAAGTGGGTGAAGGGAGACGTCGGACAGTGCAAGATATGACAAAATAATAATTTATAAATTATCTAGGGCTCATGAGGGAAAGGGGAGTGGGGAGGGAGGGGAAAAAATGAGGAGCTGATGCCAAGGGCTTAAGTGGAGAGCAAATGTTTTGAGAATGATGAGGGCAATGAATGTGCAAACGTGCTTTACATAATTGATGTATGTATGGATTGTGGTAAGAGTTGTATGAGCCCCTAATAAAATGATTTTTACAAAATCACTATTTTTCCTTTTGGTAAATAGGTTACTGGATGCCAGTAGTTTCTGGGGTGGTAGTGGCTCACGTACCAACATTTCATCAGGCAGAGATGGCTTTTAGAATTTTTAACATCTGTCTTCACTTTGCTTTGCTTTGCAGGGCAGAGAATGAGCCTATTTTCAACCTACCCAATGGAATTGCTCTCATCATCAATGAGCCACGTTACGTGAGGTAAAGGGGAAAGCTCTGGGAACCCTCTCAGTCCTTTGCTCTCCTGTTAGGAGTATGCATTTGGGCAGAAGTTGGAAATAGTCTCACTTGGCATTTGTCAGCTTCTCTCTAAATGCAGTGAAAGTAAATCTTATAGCTATTTGTGTTGAAAACTGTTCTTATTTTTGGCTCCTTGAATATATTCTTATTGACCCAAAGGTGTGTCCCTTCTTGTCTCAAAGCCTTATTTTCTTCTGTAAATGAAATTTAAAAACCTTGCCAATTCCCATCACACTTAGACACGAGAGGAGAGCAACATGAATGTGAGAGGTACAGGAACTCTTGATGCCAGAGGAATGGCAAATAAATATAAAGGAATTCATTGTCATGTGTGATTGGTCTTGCATCAGCATTTTACACAGTTTGGAAAATCAACTCTTTTCCCATCCTCACCTTCTTCAGAATTCCAAAATCAATCCATGAAAGAGGTAGGACCACCAAACATGCTTTCCTTGCCTTTCTGCACAGTCTAACAGCCATAGGATCCAAATAGTTTGAATTATAGACCGAAAAGATCTAGCTTATGCTTAAAACTTATTCTGGATCCTGTGGCAATAGTCATCCTAAGACTTAAGAGATGTCCGAGGCCATTTTTAAAAAAAAATCCTTTTATTATTCTTTTTTAACAAACGGCCCCAGGGATAGGGGAGCAGGGGAAGGGGGAGGAGGGAAAGCGAGGCCCCAGCCCCTCAGGCCCTCCCCACCCACCCCTTTCCCCCTTATATATTTATA